AATATGTGGTGCTTGTTAAAGGGCAAATTTGGCTTGGCTCATTGCTATAGTCTGCAGGTGTTGGGTGGGGTAGTGGATGGCAATTACAGGGGCCATATCAAGGCCATCTTGGTCAACACTGGCTCTGCACCAGTCACAATCCCACGCCATGCTGCTTTCTGCCAAGGTGTTCTTTTGCCTTGTTATTCACCTCGTATGCTCCCTGGCACCGTTCGGGTCACTGGTGAGCAAGGGACCAGCCAGGTCAACCGGACACGTGCGGGGAGCGCTGCCCGCTGGCGGTCAGGCCCATTTAGTCGCCTTGGGTAGCTGTAGCTAGGGGAGATAGATGGAGTAGTGGTCAAGATGTTTTTCTAGATTTTCTTGAGCGCCCCCTTTATCCTCCTTATCAAAAAAATGATCTTTTATTTTTGCCATTAAATCGTAGTGTGGTATTAGGGCCTTATGAGACACACGGGATTAATTTGCCATGCAAATTTCCAATTGGTTCCCTGCAGGAATATTTCGTGACTTTTCCCAATCGCAAAGTTATGTTTCTTGTTAAACCTGATGGCGTTTGTATCTGGGGAGCCCTCAAGAATTTTTCTGCAGAGCCGCAGCAATTGATGCCCTGCTATGATCTTTTAGCTTGCCGCACATCGGTTCAGTGGCTTTGTCTTCCAGATAAGGGGGTGGTTTTGATTCTGGAGGGTCGCAAGGGACAGGGGTTCTGTCAGCCGATTAGGGAATCTTCGGGGAATGCGGTTCAGGCTCCTACACAACAACCCGCATGGTTATCTGGATTGTGGTCTAAATATCCTGTTGTCTTTCAAGCTGGGCTTGGGACGTGTCGCACATACATGGTTCGCCACTTTCCCTTTTGCTTTCTGCTTCCATGGAAATCCCTGCCCCGTAATCCCATGATAGGGCCAGCTGAGGAAGCTAGGGTATTAGAGGAAGTCCTCAAGTTAGTGAAGCTTGGAGCCATACGTGAGGTAGACCACGAGCGACTTGTGATTCCGGCATTCGGTGTACCAAAGAAGAATGGTTCCACTCGGTTGGTTCTGGATTTTAGGAAATTCAACTCCTGTGTTCAGCATCAGCCTTTCCTACCAGTTCATCGAGAGATGTCTTTAGCTTCATTGTGCCCATTTTGCATTGGTTCCACCTTGGATTTATCTAATGCTTATCTGCAAGTGCGGCTTGCTCCCCGCCTGCGGCGCGCAGTGGGGTTAGCGGTAGCAGAACGGTTCTTTAAGTATACACGTTTGCCTTTTGGCTATTCGAATAGCTCATATGAATTTCTGCGAGCTTTGTGGCCTACTGCTCGCCGGGTTTCACGATGCACTCATTCCCAAATCATTTTTTATATGAATGATATTCTCTTACTTTCACAGTCTACATCACAGCATAGGCGGGATATGGATGTTTTATTTGAAGAGTTGGCAAGAGACGGGTGGAGGGTGAACTGGGACAAATTGCCAGGACCGATTTGAGTATCTGGGTGTCACTTTGACTTCTTCCGGACTCCAACCTACAGCCACCGTTTTGACTCAATTTGGGCAGGCGCCTATGCCTACAACCTAGTCAGGTTGGCGTCGCATTTGAGGTTGGCTGAATCATTCTGCTCGCTTCATCTGGAAGGGACATCTTGTGTTGGCAGCTTTGCGGGAGGTTCAAGCACATCCTTCCTTAGAACGATGGCGATATTTTCTTTCTTTATTGCATCATCATTTCATTCGATATGCTATTCCCGCTTCCATTTCTGCTCGTTCCTTCACAGTTATTACTGATGTGAGTAAGATTGGTTGGGGTGCGGTTTTGCTTGCTGGCCGTCAGATCGTGCGTTGTGCCCATGGGTTATGGTCTACGGGTTTTCAGCACCATATCAGCAAGGTAATGGAGTTGGAGGCACTCTGCTGAGCTCTTCGGATCTTCCGGCCTTGGATATTTAGGGCCCCCATTCACGCAATTATGGACAACCAGGCTGCGGTTAGCTTCAACAATCCTGCCAACCTCAGTGATTTTCTCAAACGCCATCTGGATCTCCTCTCTTGGTGCTCTCCTCAGATCTCATTTTGTCCGGGACCATTTAATTATCTCCCCGACTTTTTATCTAGGCAGGGAACATGGATACAGGGACCTTCTCATATTCACATAGTAGAGGTGGCCACCCGGATCCGTTAATAGTGGACAGAGGTTAATTTCCGTTAATTTTCCGTTAATTAACGGAAAATAACGAAAAAAAACAAAAATTAACCAAAAATTAGCGGATTTTTGGATTTTTTGGGGATTTGTGGGTTTTAGTCATACTTATAGTTTATGGAATTCGCTATTAGAGAGTATGTTTGTATTTTATTTCAACCTATGCATACTAGATTTTCAACTAACCACAGTTGTTGTGATTTTTTGGGGTTTTTTTCGACTTTTTTGGATTTTTTTCGTTTTTCTGAATTTTTCTCCTTTTTTTTTAACGAAATTTAACGGACAGCTGATAAAAATTAATGAACCGGATTTAACGGACCGGATGGTACCTTTGAGTGGCCACCTCTATCACGCAGTGGAAGGACATCGCTCTCCAGTTATATCCCAGGCACAATGGAAGCAGGCTCATGCCGGGCATTTTGGGGTAAAGAAAACATATCTTCGTTTCCACCAAATGGGCCTATGTCCAAAGTGGAAATGGGTGGTGGATAGGGTACAGTCATGCAAAGAATTCCAATTGTTTCACCGACTGCAACCGTCCAACCCATTTGGTAGTTGGCACGTGCCACAGAGACCAGGACAGGTCATTGGTCTGGATTTTATGGGACCTTTTTTGGAGAGAAAAGTTGGGAAGAAGCGGTTTGTTCTCGTCATTGTGGACATGTTGACCAGACGGGCAGGGGCGTGGGCAATGACTGGTGCCGGGGGGGCGGATATTGTGAGAGGGCTGAAGAAGTGGGTAGCGACACAGAGTGTGCCTTCAATTCTGTGTTCTGATGTCTGCAAGGCTATACAGTCCAAGGAATTGCAGCGATGGTGCATGCAGGAGGGCGTGACACAGGAGTATTCTCCTCCATACCATCACGCTTCTATTGGGTTTGTGGAACGGTTCAATCAAACTTTATTGAATCGTTTGCGGTGAATGTGGGCAGAGCAACCAGGTATTTTGCCAAGACGGTTGAGCGAGCAGTGGATATCTACAATGGTACACCTCTATCTTCACCAGAAGAGAGCAAAGAAACCCCTAGTTCATTTACGTTTGGATCACCGGAGCAATTGTGGAATAGCTCATAGGAAGTATGGAGTCAGTTGCGTGAATATACACGTCAGCAGCGAGAAGTGGCGAACCACAGGACGAGAGGGCGGCGCATCACGCGAATGTTCAAAGCAGGGGACCGGGTATGGCTATGGAACACGAAGGTGGACACATTGAAGGATAAGCTCGAGCCATGGTGGAAAGGGCCGGGCCAGTTGATTCGTCCTATCACGACTTCAGTGTGGGAAGTTAAGGGACCAGAGGGAAAACTTTGGATTAGACACACGGATATGATACGGCCGTACCACGATAGGGTTTATACTGATGGTATTTCGAGTCATATTTTAATTTAGCGCAGGGAAGCGTGTGAGGACAAGAAAAGGTGTATAAGTAGTTAAGTGAGTTTGGGGGATCAGATAAGGTGTTTATTATGGCGACATGGAGAATGATGGGGAAAAGATATGAACTGAGCATGCTTGCGGCGAATGCTACATGACGGACAGAACTATTCTGTAATCCATCTGGTTGCGGCTTGCTTCCCGTGCCTGGGGGCGGCCGTGTGTGAGCGCGAGCGAGGAGCGCAAACAACGAAACCACTCGATAGAGATGATATGTTTAAAGGGGTATATTTATATTAGTTGTTTAATTGATTGATATGATCTACTACAATCACACTTGAGTTGCTAAGCATGGTCTGGAGTTAGTGAGTTAATGGTGTACTTGTTGTCCAGCTTTATTGCTTAGTATTCGGGAGTCCAGCCTAGAGAAAGCCACCGTTGTTGCGAATCCAAATGTAAGACACCATCCTGACGTATAACTAAGCCAGAATGGAGCTGTGACATGGGCCTGGGAGACATGAGCTGGGAATTCATCATCAGTAAGCTATTTTAGTCAAGTATATTTATTTCAATAGAATATCAAGGCTGGGAATATAAATTGCATAAGTAGGCATTATTGACTTCCTTGTGGTTTACTGATTTGATTGACTTAATTATTGGATCGTTATGGAGGGACGTACTTGGGACTAAACGTGATTAGTGGGGACTAGAATTGCTTGTTGGGGATTAAAATTGCTTGTTGGGGACTAAATTGAGCCAGGCGTATGGAATATATGACAGGTTGTATTGTATTGGGAACAAGTATTGGATAACTTGAGATGTGCGGGGACAAGCTCAAGGGGGTTTGTATGGGGATTGTAGTTTGGGAGGTTTCTCGAAGGACTGGCTAGGACTGGGGACTGGAACGTGGCTTGGGATCGAGATACACTTTTTGTGGTATAAATATGCATGGAACATTCTTGTAACAACGCACCCTTTCTAGGCCCACCATCGTTGTTGTGCATGTGTTTGTTTTCTGAACTGTTCTTTGGACAATGAAGTAGCGCATCCTATTTCGCCCACGGGAAAAGGCGACTGGCGTGTCTCCCGAAGATGGGCACCTCAGTCGACACCCGTCAACCTATTGTGACGGCTGGTCTGGCATTTACGGCTTTGCAACAGGACAGACCTGGTCTGCATCCGTCTGGCGCGACTAAGGTACGTGGGTAATCAGCACATCAGCGCTTCCCCTGGACATTTTTAATTGAAAACGTCGCCACAGGCAGTCTATGGCAGCTGCGCGCTGCGGACAAAGCAGAAAAAGTGAGGGCACCCGGAATGAGTGACAGTCCAGCCTGATCGCTGTACCCCAACACCAACACCAGGTATCTAGTATCTGACTGTCATATCCCGCGACCACCTCCCGTATTGCGCCACTGGCGGTGAGCCTAGCGGCTTCCCCAATGGAGACGGCTCCCGTGTTCGCCGATGTCTCGGACACACCCATGTTTCGCCAGCGGGTGAGCAACGCCGACCCCAAGGGATCAGCAACCTTGCCTGGACTGAGAAACTTGCAGGGTTTGGCGCAGTTTTGCGTGTCCCTTTCCGATGTGCAGCGGAAGCGGCGGTCACACGGTCGTATCACGCCTCGGTGCTCTCATGTTGTGGCACCCTTGCCTATTCACGACACCCTAACTCTGGGATTTTCATCGATCGGCACTTGTGCCTCGATTCTCAACGCTGTACTCCAACATCGCTGATGGTATGGAAAATCTGATTGCCGAGTCTCGCTGTACTGACCCGTGGCCATCTCTCCCTTCGGATGGATTTGGCGTCATTGCACACGTACACACCTGTAGAATCTGGTGGGAAGCGGTGTGTGTAATCCACGATTGTTGCCGCCACCAGTTTTGACGTCCGCAGCTTTTGTCGTAGGTGGTCGAGCTTCAGCATGGTGTGGACATCTTGAAGGAAGGATGCGGCAAACTTGCCAAACAAGCCGCAAAGTATTGCGAAGAGCTGGAGGGTTCGGCTAAAGTCAACGAGGGCTTCAGCCGAGCGTTGGTGGCGTTCTGTTCGGCTGGGAGTGACGATCAGGGCGAGCTAATAGGTGAAGTGTTTATGAAGAGTTGGTGCACATGGTGCCGAACGGGCAACTCTTGCCCGAACGCAAATCAGCACTGAGGAAATGGGCTAGGGAGCAAGATGCTTATCAATATGTGCCTGATATTGACAATATATTGTGACATACAGGCCAGAACGAATTCAGCAAGTTCAGCTTGGTCTTCAGCGAGATTGCAGATCTGACAAGGGGATTGCAGGGTGAGGTACGTTTCATTCCAATTTTGAATGGCTTCTTATCGACCATTCCAGCTTGGGATTTTCAACAACTCGCATTGGCAACTGGTAGTTTGATTGAAGAGGGTTGTGACCATCAAGGTTCAGCAGCTGCACTTTCTAATAGTTGACGATTGTCATCGCTGAACTGATCCTGAAGATGTGGACTGCATCCTGCACTAAATGATGCTTGAGCGGATTCTTTGTGTGGTGGTAGTGCATTGCAGGTCCTGTTCTGTGGAAGATTGTCACACTGTGCTATGTGCTCATTCTGCACCTCTGCACAGCACAAATTTCCTGCTGATACCGTGACCATATGATTTCTTGCATATAGGATCTTTGCTTGGACAACAACATTTGGTGATACATACTGGAGTTTTTTGGACTGACAGCGATGATCAACACTGTAAGCATAAGTTTGAATCATAGCTACAATCGTAAATTTTCCCCCTGCTTATTCTTACTATCCTAGTGAACATGTATCTCACCTGGTGCATGCCATCACTGGGCAATTGGATCAAGATGCGACACCATGAAGCATGTATTCAAATATTGTGTTCATTGGGCTGTAAGTTGACAATGTCGGGATGTCGACTGACACAGTCTGTGGTCTTATGACAGATGGTCGAAACTTTGGTTGAGCCACTGAAAAATGAGTGGATGGGTCAGCTTTGCACAGATGTTTGTGAAGAAAAGAAGCAGCTTGACAAAAAGACAGCTGCATATGACTTTGCCAAGCTGAAGTATCTTGGATTGCGGAAAGTTACAAAGAAAGAAGTGGTGAAGAGGACAGAAGAGGAACTCAACAAGGCTAAAGCAGAGGCTGACGAGGCAAGGTACTGCATGGCGCGCAAACTAACAGAGGTAATTGGAGATAGGACTGCAACGATTCTATTGTATCATATACAGCAATCCCTGTGTAAAATGTTACTGGCAGGTGGCTGGCATATGTGTTTTCTGAGGCAGCAGGTTACCTGTGCCATCCTGCATGTTGACATATCTGTAGCCATCCTTAATAGTTTGCTGGAAAGTTGCATGGAAGTTTGTGGTTATCTCAACACGATGAGACAGCCCTGTTTCAAGTGCAGAATTGATATAGTTTGTGCTTTGAAGGTGGAACTACGTAAATATTACGAATTCCTGGGTATGATGGCTGCATGCATGGAAAGTCAGCTCCAGTTCTTTGAGAAGGGATACACTGTCTTGAAGGAAATGGAGCCTCTGATTCAGACAAGCAAGGAGATGGTTAACAACAGGCAACAAAGAATGAAGGCAAACATGGTGAGCTGGACATTCTTTCATATTTTACAGCAACTGTCACTCTATCTAGGTGATGCAGAGCCTGTACTCAATTCCTGGAGACAAACCCTGTCAAGTCATGGTGGAGCAACGTGCGATGTGAATATGCGCTGTCTGGCGACCATAGTTAGAATTGTGAATGCTCACAGGAACTCCTGGAGAGGAGGATAACTGTCCATCAAGAGCAGGAACGAAGCCGCGCAGAGGTCGCTGCTGATACTGTGGAGGCTGAGCCTTCTGTTGCTGGGCCACTACAGTTGTCAGCTGGCATGATGGGCATGATGTCAGAGGTGGAGATGTTTGTTCGTGCTTCCCTCGGCTCTCAGGGAAAGCAAGTCACAGCAATAAAGCAAGGGTATTTGCTGAAGCGCTCATCGAACATGTAAGCCTGTAAACACTACTGTTTGGAATGCAGAATTGCTTCATTGGCTAGTTGTGCTTCATGCATGCTCACTGGCTCCAGAGTCATTCCCATGGAAGTCTCGTTTCATTGACACTGCTGTTCTGGGACAGTCCCTAAGTGTTCTGTTTTGTGTATTGTTTGCAGGCGAGGTGACTGGAAGAAAAGGTTCTTTGTTCTTGACAGCATGGGCATTCTGTATTACTACACAAGCAAGGTGCCCTTGCTGCGCGATTCCAATAGCCCCCATATCATGATCATCGTGCCTCAGAGAATTGCACATGTTGCAGCTGTAAAAACAACAAAAAGCTTTTCTAGGAGTGTAAATTGTTTTCTTCTTCTTTCAGCATGCAATGTTGGGTGCTGGGCCATCAAAGTTTTATGGAACAGACCTGTTTGGCTGGCACTGATATTTAAAAAGCAGTTGCATTTATTGGAACTTGTGAGCGCACTGGATCTCTGTCAGCTGTCAACAGGAAGGGGAAAAGACCAGCTGCACAAGTAACTACCAGCCACTTGATAACACCTGTGTCCAAGACATTATGTTGTGGAGACCAGTATGCGTTGTAACGCCTTTGCAAATTCATACCCAGTCGGTGCCTGCACAGAGCCTGACCCAGTGGTGGAATGTGCAGAGCACGCTGTTGCCCATGGCCAAACGTGAAACAACAAAGAAAGGTGCCTGTCTGGTGACATCTTCAGTTAAGCCATATGAGGAAGAGGACCTCCGGTTCTGTTTCAGTGTAGTGTCTCCAGAGAAGTCATTGCATCTACAGGCAGAAAGTGAAATGGAGAAGCAGGAGTGGATTGCTGCCATTCAGGTGTGGCACAGTAGGTAACAATTTGTTACAGTTATGTTGCAGGTGCCATTGCTTCCTGGGCACAGCAATGCACTTGTATGGGGTTGCATGCAGAAAGACATCAGTAGAGTTGTCGGTCATCGCCAGAAAGCTGCAGGGAGGCATGTTCTGGCTTTTCACTGATGAATATTATCATGGAGTACTTCATTGCTGCATTTGTATTCTATTTACATAAAACTGCACCTCCCAGGTTGCATACCATAGTATATTATACCCTTCCACATTGCTGTGTTAACATTTCGCATTTTTAAGTTGAGCAATAATAAAACCATAAGTGTGCCAAGAGAAAGTGGAGCATCCCCATCTGCGACGTGAGGGTCTCTGGAGTGCTCGTGGCATCCAGTGGCCCCAGATTCACGAATCGCTGTGGCAGAAAACTGGCATTTCGGGCCATGTGAACTGAGCAAAATCGTCATTCCAGCTGTGACCATGATACGGAGCCCCTCAAATTAACGGTTTGTCAAAAAATGTGGAGCAAAAATCACAACGTTGAAATTTCAAACGTGGAGGGGTATGATGTATAGTGGTATCGTCATGCCTATGGATTTCTTGAGCAAGTGGTTCAATGTTCTTATGCTGCAACATATAGCTGGTAATCGACGTTTTCGCAACACTCCAGCACTGTAGAGCACGGCTGCGTTGTATGTACAGAAGCAACAGAAACCATCTGTGGTGGCGGACAGTGTCATGGACACATACATAAAGAAACAAGATTCTGAAGGTGACCAAAACCTGTCCAGCAATACATTTGCAGCGGTGTTGTTGAGGGATAGGTATCTGAGAACTTCTCAGAGGCAGTTGACATACTTGTTCTGCAGGTTTATGATTTTATCATTGTCATTGTTCATGGGGGTTGCTTTTGATTTGAATGGAACAGTAAGATTCCACTGTATCTGGATGCCAGTGATTGTTTGCTGGTGACTGAATACTATTGCTGCAATTTGATCGAGTTGTGAATTTGTGTTACTATCAGAGTGTCATTGCCTGCTACCTTCAAAATAGCCCTCTGGATGGAAAAGCCTTCTGTGACTCAGAAATCACACTGCCCACACACAGCCGTGACTCAGTGGCCCCAGAAGAGAAGGCAGATTTAGTTGCATCAGCAAAGAGCTTCACAGAATATGGTACAATGTCACCTGCGTCATCAGGAATGGCACTGCCTGCAAGTGGAGATGGGTGTGCCATGGGTGGAACTTCAGCACGGCACAACAGGAGTGCAACCTGGACCCCGGAGTCTTTTTCAAGATTCCATGCTGAGGATGTGCGAATAAAGCACGGTGGGGAGCCACCTTTGGAGCAACTGCAGCATGTGGCAGGCAACAAAGTGAGCAACGGTGTGGTGAAAATGGCACATTGTGCTACCTGAATGTTAGTAGGCTGCCTGCAGTATGCATTGAACATGCAAATCACTGCAGTTGCTCTGTTTTCATTTGCCTGCAGGTACAGTCTGTTTGGCAACTCGGAACATCTTGGTGGTTGTAGAATTGGCCAGTCGTTTTGCATGGATCTCTGGTGTATGTGCCCATAATCTCAGCGCAATGGACCCAGTGCCAACTCTGTTGAGCAACTCTGGAACTACAGATGGCAGTGCCAGTCACAAATGTGCAATGAAGCACCTGCTCCTCTTGACCCTCAGCAAAACAAAAGCTAGTCATATTATTGATTATGGCCAGACCTGATGAGATGAGATGATAGTCTTGAATTTGAGAATTGTGTAAACTGTTGATGAAGAATTTTCTGACCTGCACTGCTGCATATGACACAAGGTGTCAAGAAGATGAACCAACCTGATCTGCATGCTGGCGTTGCAGTTCCTACCTCCCCAACTTTATTGCATTCAGGGTGCCTTCATTGTTTTATGTCGTTCTGAGCATAGTTCCCCCAACATTTCTGCAGTTGCTCCTTTCATGCGTTCCCAGGGTTTGTATGGTATGCAGCAGAAACTGTGCACATCTATGCAATGAGCCCAGTGCCAAGCTTTAACAGAGAATTCGAATTCGATCTCAATTGCTGTCGGCACCAGCGAAAGTGTGGATACTACGTCAGGGCCTGCAAGCATGTGTTTTGTTAAACCAAGGTCAGATTTTTGATTTTTTTGCTCAAACATTGCCAGATTTGTGCTGACTGTGGAGCAGCCGACCCTGAGTGGGCATCAACAAACCTGGGTATTTTGATTTGCATCGAGTGTTCAGGAATTCATCGGCAGCTGGGGGTCCACATCTCAAAGGTGATGATGGTTTCGCGCAAGATACATGAATATATGAATGGACTTGCCAAATTCTTTGCCCTGTGTTCCCTGGTAGCAAAAAGACCTGTTTCATGTACTGCAGCATGTTCATTTGCATAGCACTGTGGATTGTGAAGCATGTGCAAGCTGAGTGAACCACTGTGAGTATTGGCTGGTTGCTTCATTTGCCACCTAATGGCTTCCAGAGAAGCATTTTGCTTACCATGTCAATGGCTGTGCACGTCAACAGGTTCGCAGCCTGAAGCTAGATGTGCGGGTGTGGACAGATTCCCTGCTTCAACTTTTCCAGCAATTGGGAAATGAATTTGGAAATAGTCTCTGGGAATCAGGAAGACACAATCTTGACCGCACAGAGTCATGGGTATGGTGTGAGGATTCAGATGATGAGGGCGAAGGGCACAACAGTTGCACTACAAGCCCATTTCCCAACCCTGGGACAACAGGGGCACAATTTTTTGATGCTGATGAAGGCTTGCCAAAGCCAACCAGCTCAAGCAGCAAGGACGAAAAGCACCGTTTTGCTGTGGAGAAATATGTGAATCGATGCTATCTTGAGAAACTTGACTCTCACACTGCAGATCACCTGCTGTGGAAAGGAGTTGCAAAAGGCGATGTCAGGTGTGTGTGGTAGCTTGGAAATGTTTGCCATGCTACCAGTGGCTCACATGATGTGTGCTGCTCTGGTTGAGCTCATATATTACCCTCTAACTTGTCTTCCCTGTATGTTCCTAAGCAACTTGCAATCACTCCTGTTGCACTGTCGATGGTGTGTTGTGCTGTGTTTCAGATGAAGCAGCCATCACCAAAATGACTGCCTTGAACAAGTTGTTGTCTCTGACTTAATGCTTGTCTGGTGCAGGACAGCATACAGAGCAATTATAGGGGGTGCCAATGTGACTACCCCAAACACATTCAATGATGGTGTAAACCTTGTGGGGGACATGGAACACTCAATGGCAAAAGCAATGAGGAGAGGAGTCACTCTTCCAGATGATACCCATTCAGGTGCAATAGGTGTCTGTGTATTGCACATTATGTGTTGTTGGTAAACACGCACTGTAATGAATTGTGTATTATGTATACAATGAGTTATGTAGAGTAATGCTGCTTGTTTTGCCGTTTGCCTGTCAGATTGAAGGCATGGTCCATGGGACCCCTGCTGCCAGTAGATTATTTTTTTTCTGCTGTAAGAGCATGATCATTCCGTGGTATGTGCTCACTGCAGCACTAACCCGGATTCTTTTCAATCACTGTAGTTTCGTATCTAAAAGTGTGGTCGCTCTTCAGCCAATTGCCAGGATTGAGCTTGTTCTGTTATTTTTCATTGTTGCAACATCAGTGCAAGAGGGTACAGGGTTGTACTGTGGAAACGGGAGTCATGATATTGTACAATTTGCCAATGTCCCAAAACACACCTGAACCAGAAAAATATGTAGCCTGCCACGCACCCACCCACCCGCACACATACCCACATACATATATCTTGACCCACACACAGATGTGATTGTGGCTGTCCATCCGTAGGGCGATGTTTCCTTCTCTATGATGTCAGGGGAGCCCAGAGGTTCTGGGCCATCTGCTGCCTTCAAGGCAGCCCCTTCCGCCAGATGTTGGGTTTATTTCTGCTTCTCTTTTCCCCAAGATGCCCAGTTGGGCGAATACACCATTATCATGGACATTATGCATGATTCCCTGAATGTGAGGCGACGCATTACATTACCAAGTTGTGGTATCATGCAACGAAAGGCACTTGTATTAGTGGTATTTCATTTAAGGATACATTCACATTCACACACAAACATGGAAGCATGTTGTAGCCTAACAGTGCATGCACAATCCAGTTCGGTGTTTTTGGTAGTGCCTATGGTGCGAGCTCGCATGTTCCTCTCAAGCCATCTTTATCCCAGATACAATTAGCTCTCTGGCGCCTGATTATTGATATCGACGATATCGCAGACTGGTGGCTAGTGTGGAGCCGGGCCATCAATCAGAGAGACCAAGAGGCTTTTTGACACTGAACGGAAGTGTATGTGGCTTTTTGTATGCCAGGCACCCAGAATTGCATGACATTCATTAGACCTTAGCAGAGGGTGCAGGAGTCCAAGATATTTTGTGTGTGTACTCACTCCCCATACAGCTCTCAACCGTGAGCCCAAGTTGCACCATGCTCTAGGGGTGCTCAGGGGTATGTAGCCATTCTCTTCTCAATCTTGGTGATGGAGACTTTGAACAATGGTAAATTTATTGGATGCAGGTGCCAGTGTTTTGCTCCTTGCCTGCAAGGTTGGATCTGTCCCGGTACTGGAGCTCTTGATACAGAATGGGGCAGATCTTGACTGTCAGGATGCCTACAATCGCCGTGGCCTGCATTACTGTCTTGTGCACAGCTGCAAAGATGCTGCAAGGTTGCTTGTTGGAAAAGGAGCACAAAAAGATGTGGCAGACTGCCACGGAGCCACTCCTATGTGGATTGCTCAGCAGAGTGGAGACCAAGAAGCCATTGATTTGCTGCAGATACTGCCGAGTGCAGAGGTAGGCAATCCTCGAGCATTGCATCTTGCCGCAGATCGCATCGCTGCAAACAGGGTGCCAGACTTCGCCTTGCTTGGACTAGTGCAACGGAATACAGCTTCCCAGGCGATTTTGGCTTGTTGTTGCAAGAACTACAATCGCTCCAAGGCAAAGTCCATTCCTACTTGCGCCGGAGGATTGTGGTCGGCGGTGTTCATTTGCATGATGCCCACTTCTCATGCTTGTGTGTGGTTTGTTCGCAGAGAGCCTGAGAACTGGGACGATTGAGGTATTGCGTAAGGAACAGGTGAACATGTTCCCCCCTGGCACATGAGACCTGTGTGCTGTGGTATTCTGTAAGGGCGCATGCTCGACCAGTTTCAATTGCTCTCGGTCATCCCGATTAATTTCGTTCTTCTGGAGGTCATCGATGTTGTTCTGACTCAAGCGATGAGCATGTGATATTCGTGAATGTCAGCCATGACAGCTGTAAGGCAAGGGGTGATGTGGATGGTTCAAGAACATAGTAGCACAAGAGAAGGCACCAGTCCATTCACCGCTGTTCATGCATAACGGATATTGCTGCCATGCCTTCATTTCAGGTAGGTAAAATATATGCAAGTACCTGCACTAGTGCGTTACACTAGTGCGTTGTTCAGACCAGACCGAATGGAATTGATGGCACGGTTCAGATTTTGACGAGGGAAGCACCGTCCATCGCTGTGTTTCTTTCCACCTGCTCACAAAGATTCCGTGAACACGGGCAAAACCTACTGAACCTGCTGCCGACAACTACATGTCGGCAAATCCTGTTCCAGCGCCCAACGGCGTCGCTCCTGAAGCCCAGATGGGTTTTCAACACTTTGTTCGAACACCAAAGTCGATAACAGCATCGCAGCCCTCATCCCATTCCAGGCATGTCCTATTGCGTT